ATTTTTATACTTGATTTACATGTTGATCCCACACTTCTCCCCTTATTATTATTATTATTTTTATTTTTAATAAAATGCTGAAGTGGTAGGTAGATGCAAGATAAAGGTAGAAAACATAGTTTAGTGTTGCAAGAGAGCAACTGCAGATGATCAGGCGTGTGCCTGCAGACCATGTGCCAATCCAAGCCAGACAAGGGCAACAAACCATCCATGGATGCAGAAGATTTCTCTCAAAGCAGGGGGGATGAGGTTCTGAGCCTCACCTCTCAACAGTGTTTTTATTTAACATACAGCCCAGCCTCAGAAACCTGCCCAGAACAACTATGGCTGAATAAGGCCTCAGCTGCTTTTCCTCTCTATTCATTATTTGTTAACTGGGCAGGATTTGTATGAATCTCCATTTCTAACTGATGCAAGTGAATTACTAAAAAGGAGGCTTTCCTCTGCAGGGATCAGAACTGGCAACCTGCCTTAACTGGTGGGGCACCACAGTAGGTTCAGGTTCCAGTGGTGAACTAAATGTTTACAGAGGCACCGTTACCTTTTAATCCACAGAAGTGATACCAACATCTCAGTATGCAGGCTTTTCAGACTTGGTAACTCTATGAATGTCTATTTTAAGTATCATATATCCATGGGAATTATTTGTATTGGATAATAATGCAATGCCTAAAGACATATTATGTATCTAAAATTTTATTTGATTCTGAGAATACCATTAAAATTTAGATATTAAAAAATTCTAAAATCAGTAGCATCTACATTTTAAAAGTTGCAAGGCCCTGTTGTAAACAATATGAAATAGTTGTAAGAAAGAAAATGTATTTAGAGGTCAAAATTTTAAAATATGCTGTCCGTGCTTATCCATAGTGTCTTGCCTAAGGGTTTTGGCCCCAGGCAAATTCAGTGAGATATGATTCAGTGAGATCAAGAAAAGACAATAGAACATTCTTGGGGTAAAAGAGTTTATATCTGGCTTTATCCTCCCTGCACTAGAATCATGCCTGCATCCAACAATCTGCAGGTCTGTAATCCTCCACTGTCTTTCTTTCCAGAGCACTGGGCAGAGCTCATTATGTAGTGACTCAGTCAGTAATAGCTTATTGCCTTTGGGCATGGAAGCAGTAGCCTAGCAGTAGGCCAATTGCATGATCAGGTGGTCTAGGGTCAGGTGAGGATCTTGGCCCTAAGAACTTCCATTTTCCCCACATGTGGAAAATATCTTACCCCCAGTGGATGACTTAAGCGTGGATAGTACAGAACCCTATATATACTATGCTTTTTCCTATACATACACTGATAAATTTTTATTTATAAATTAGGCACAGTAAGAGACTAACAACTCATAGTAAAATAGGATGATTATAACAATATAGTATTATACTAGTAATGTGAATGTGGTTTCTGTGTTCTCTCTCAAAATACTGTACTGAACTCACCATGATGCTTCCTGTGATGATGTGAGATGATAAATACCTATGTGGTGACAGGAAGTGAGGTGAATGATGTAGACATTGTAATGTAGCCTTAGGCTACTACTGACCTTATGACCATAGGTCAGAAGGAGGAGCATCTGCTTCCTGACTACTGGGGTTGACCATAGGCGACTGAGCTGCAGAAAGGGAAACTGGTTAAAGGTGAGACTACAGTACTACATACACACATATGTACTGGTGAATTGTATACTGGGCTATTGCTTTTAGTTACTGACAAATTTCATTCATTACACAAGAGCTCATTCATTTAACTTCCTTACTAGTGAGATAGAAATACTAATTTTGATAACTTCTGTAGAGAGGGTCTACGTGAACCTTAATTCAGCATCAACTAACTTTTCTGTCTTGCAGGTGTCTCAATAAATAATATAGAGCAGGGAGAGATAAACCTGACCATAGTATGATTATGAACAAAGTTTCTCCATGATCATGTTCACTCTGAATAGTGTGTTGTGTGTGACTGAGCTAGTTTCTGTTGTAATTTAAGCAAAAAATATATAAACTTAATTTCTCAACATTTTGTGATGAATTGTTTCTAAGTTAACATGAAAAAGTAACAGTATTAAAAACAAATGTTTTATTATAAATATCAATTCTAAGAGTATTCTCTTTGAGATACATTAAATATGGAAGAACCTTTTGTTTCTGTCATAGACTTATCATTGTGACTTTTCAAATTAAATTTGCTAATATGTACTGCTTGTAGAATAGAATAGCCAACCCATCCAGTATTGGCCTGTATGTCTGTCTCTGAGTGATCTCATCTATTATTTAATAATTGAAATTGTACTTAGATGAGTATCCTGAGAAATATGCTTCTCATGTTTCACTTATGTATTTTACCAAATGCATTGAATAGATTTTAGAATTGACCTGCTCAATTTCTGTTACACATTTATATACAGTAATTTGGAGAATTCAGCAGAGACATTTTGGGGAAAAAAATACTAGAAAGGGATATGATCATTTATTTCTTCTTGGATGTGGTCTGATAAATCTTAGTTTATCAGAAACTTTAATTCCAGGGTGAGAATATTTGAGATTTTTAGTGACCATGTTAAACCATTTATGATAAATAGCCCTAATTTTTTTCATGTGTAGTTCTAAATAAAAATGTATGCTTAATTAAACTACTGATATTTTAAGGCAGTGGACTCCCAGTCCTAGTTTGTATCAGAACTATCTGAAGGGTTTAAGGTCCTGAGTCCTCGCCCCTCCCCTGGAGTTTCTGAGTAGGTCTGGGGTGAGACCTGACAGCCTACATTTGAGGAACTTTCAGAGCATATGCTGGTGCTGCTTTTCCAAAGACCACTCTTTGAGAACTAACTGCTTTAAAATAAATGTTGAAACTTTTAGCAAATTCAGACTGTTTGCTGCCAAGAAGAATAATGACATCATTGTTCTTATTGAAAGTAATTTGTTTTAATGTGCCTGTCTCTTACTCAAGTCAGGAACAGATTATACAAGTGTGGATTTTAAAATGTATTATAAAATTCATGGTTGAATCCAAGACCAAATCCCAGTTACCATTTTCTTTTTTTCCTTTGTTAACCATTGTAATCAAGAAAAATGTGTTAGGTTCAGGTCTTTTGCTCTACAGATTCTCTTTGCCTTGTAATCTTTGATCTGTCCTTTTTGACAATGGCACACCCAACCTCTCTTTTAGAAAAGAGTATGATTACTGATTCTTCAGGAGGTATTTTGATAAATTCAGAGGTTCAACACTGTGTTGTTACTTTGTATATTCAGTTTGTTAATGGAAGAACTACTATATGTCTGTGACTTTTGCAAGAAAAAAAAACTTCTCAAATATTTATCAATGACTAATTTTATATTTCCTATTGAACATACCCACAGTGAGACACAGTCATGTCTCACTGAACCAGAGATTTCACATATTAGTTCATCTTATTAAATATAGTGTACTTTCATATTTTCTTTCAGTAATGCTTCATTTAAAAATACTTTGTTCATGACCTGATAAATTGATTTCATTACATAAAGATGGGTCAACCTGCAGCTTTAAAAACCATTGTTTGTTTGTATTTTAAGCCATATTGCTCATATTTGTGTCTAATTCATCTTTCCAATGTTGCAGTTTCTAGTTTCCTTAGGAAAAAAAATACACCTGTGTATGTGGGTGTTAAAAATGTTTCAGGATACCAATGTGTTGTCTTATTTAAACTTTTGGAACCATATGCAAAATTGGGCAACTATTCTTTGTAGACCTGCTGGCTTTGTTTTCTACCAACCTTCTTACAGAATTTCCTGGTTGTCCAATTAATGTTTATTACTTGCATCTCTGTAGTGTGCATCTCTGTAGTGCGCAACCAAAACAATAAAAAGTTGTGGGTTTTTTTTCAGTTTTGAGATTGCCTTTGTAATAATGGAAAATACCCATCTCTAAAATGGAGTTGTAAATATAGGTCTTAATTTAATTTTAAAAATTCAGTTAGAGAACAGTTAAAACAAAATAGAACTGGAAATAAAATATTTAACATAATTAGCAAAAAAAAAGTTAAGAAGGTGAATCTTGGATAAATGTGTAAGATTGTTACTTTCCTGCCAGTGGAGGGCAAGGAGATATTAAAGTATCAAAAGCATAGTTTGAATAGATAGAAAATTAATCTTCAATCTGAAACTCCTGTGGGCTTCTCTTAAATCAGTATATTGGATTTTGGCTCCTAACTCAGGAGACAAATTGGTTGAAGTTAGAATTGAATTTTACTTAGAGTTACAAAACATCTATTCTTTCCTGGTATCTCTTTTAAAATGATAGTGTCTTTTTTAAAACAAAAATTGATATACCAGGAAAACATGTAGAAATCAAAGGAACATGATAATAATCTTTTGTTGCTATCTTTTTGCACTCATGCATACCATTAGTTGTCAAATCAAGATATATTTTCAGCTGCACAATACAAATTTTGTAGCATAAATAGTAAAATTTATTTTAAGGGGATAATTTTAATTCAGTTATATTTAAAGGCAGTCATCTTATTCTTTAAAGGTATAATTTAGTAAGTACTGTATGTGAAAAAGCTGTGGTTCTTTCTGGATGATTCTGACTAACTCCAACATTGAGGAAATTATGAGAAAAGTTTGGTTATAATGTAAGTAATACCATAAAGATGTAAAATGGATCCTGATACCTTAATGGCAGTTGTGTATCTGGTGTCATCATGGTACTATATTTTATGTGTTTATTTATATTTATCTTTATTTATTTTTCTACCTGGATTTCTTTTAAAAAACTGAGGTGTAATTGATATACAACATTATATTAGTTTCAGATGTAAAAATAAAACTCAATATTTGCATATATTGCAAAGTGATCATCACAGTAAGTCTACTTAGATGTCATTGTGATGCAATGTATTTAAATATTCTTTTAGATCTGTTTTCTGAAGACTGTGCATTTGGCGAATGAATATGTAGATACGAGAATACCTGTATTAGCATAAATTGTAATATTCCATTTATTGTCCCTCTTCTTCTATATAGCCTGAAAAAAATGACAGCGAGCCAGGCAGCCAGAGGATAAAACCCGTGTTTATTGAGGATGCGAATTTTGGGCGACAAATATCCTATCAGCATGCGGCAGTCCATATTCCCACCGACATCTATGAGGGCTGTAAGTAAAAGGATGTGAGCAGCTGTTGGGATACTATGTCCTCAGATGTCTTCATTATCACATTTTTGGAAAAAAAAATGCAAATGTGATGGTTTTATTTACATGTCATTAAACAAGTCTGTGGTAAACACTGATTCATATAAAAGAAGTTCATTTGATTTTCAAAACAGTTTATGTTCATATGGCCTCATTTCATGGGTATTTGTAGCACAGTCTGAATGAATGGAGTTCTCCTATTCTATGGTTGAGTAAATCACTCTGCCTTCCCAATTGCCATCAACAACTTAATATTCTTTAAAAATCAAAACTATGTGGCACATGTGCACATACATACAAACGTATGTGCACAACCACACAAACTGGTAAAGGGGGAGAGATGTACATTTTAGAATTTCTCCAGTTCTTACCATATCATGCTTTTCAGTCTCTTTCCGTGTATGTCTTTCTCTGCCCTACTCTAGGATATAGGTAAAATATAGCTTCCCAATATATTGTGGGCTCAAGATAAGAAGAAATGTTGGAGAAGGAACAAACGATAGACCTAAAAGAAAGGGAAAACCACTGAATGGAGTACTTAAAATTGACAAAGTTTCTCTGTGAGAAAGGGAGGGAAATAGTTAATTAGAAAGTTACAGGGGAGGAAGCTTGTGCCAGTGAGGTTTCTCAGACCTCCTAGATAATAGTAAGGGCATTCTAACTAGGAATTCTCCTTAGGGCCACCTCGTCATCAGTGAGAACCAGCTCCGGCCTGGAAAGCAAGGTCTCTGTTCAGTCAGAGCTCTGGCCTTCCATAGTAACCATTCTCTAAGCTGCACCTAGCCTGCCTACTCACATAAGAAGAAAGAACCACATGAGATTCTTTGAACGATCTTTCATACATTCTCCTGTGTTAGAGAGACTGGGTATCCAGAACTGCCTGAGTTCAAATCTAAATTTCACCAGTATTGTTGCCTTGGGTAAATCCTGTAACTTTCTGGGCAAGCATATTCTCACCTGCAAAATGGTAGTAAGACAACCAGTCCCAAAGTTATTTGAGGGCAAAATAATTTAATATATTTAAGTTTTCATAATAGTGCCAAACTCATATTAAGTGCTTTGTATTAATGTTAATTACAGTTAAAGTTTATTTAGATACAGAGGACTAAGTACAGGAACTAATAATATAAATTAGCTTTTATTTTTGGATTAACTGAGATGTTTTCAAAGGTAATTTGTAAATACATGTATGATTCATTTCATGACTTCCATGTCTTTCAAATTATTTTTTTTAATGTTGTAAAAAATATATCTTTTCTTGTCGATTCCTCTAAGATATCATTCTACATGATTTTTCTCTATAATAGAAACACATTTCTATATATAGGTAGTTTCTGTTGGCATATGAGAATTAAACATAATTTGATTTCTTTACAATCCAACACACCCTATTAGTTCCCACTCCATTTGTGAATAATTGGGATTTACATTCATTTTTTTTTGTTTTCCTTATTTACTTTGTCCATTGTGTTCTTTTTTTTTTAATTTTTGGCATATCGCAATTTATATTGTATAGCTATTACAGCAACTGTTCAGACAATATTGAGCAGTATGGTTATGCATTTTATTCTTTAAAAAACATTATTCATGTAACTGTTTCAAGTTTTTTACCACCTATTGTTTGTTGGCTATGTCAACAAAATAATCTTACTGCTCTAAGATTACATCTTCTTATTGAATTCACATTAGAAGAACAAACTGGCTACAGAAGTTTTGTGTCAAAACATTTTTCTGTCCATACTCTGTGGCTAGCATGGCACTATTTTACAGCCTATATTACTAGGTTGAGGAAACTTGATGCCAACTTTAATGGTTTTAATTTGTTAGAAAGTTTTTGTGATCGTGTTTCTGTTCTGTTGCTTCATATTTGTTTTTTTTCCTTACTCCTGAAATTCCATAATTTATAAATGTCACCAATATATTAGAAGTCACATAGCTTTATGGGATACTTTATTTAAAATATGTTTACATGGAAGACTTGTACATAAAAAAAAAAACTAAAGCAAAACATGCAGTGGGGCCAGAGCTCTGCCCATTGACCTCCTTACACTCTTCAAGAGGAAGCCCTCTGTGCAGTATTGCTAGTCACAAGGGATGCTCTGAACAAATTCATAGATTATATGTTTTTCTTTAACACCCCCAAAAAGGAAAAGTAACAGGATTAAGAGTGTTGTTGTTTTAATCGGCTTGCTCTGGATCTAGCAGCTGGGGGAAGTGAGATGGTTGTTTCTAAGAGCTTTGCCCCTGAAATGATTTTTCTCTTCTGTGTTTGATATGATGGTAAGAACCAGTGGGCCACAACCCTGTACTTTGCTGGAATGAGCACCCTTGCCTAGTATAAACTGGGAAAGAGGATGGCTTGAACCTACTTGCTGGTATGTATGCACATGAGGCACCTCCATATGGCCTTGAACTGTGGGGCCTGGAGCTTACTTCCAGGTCTTTATGGCACATGAGACACTATTTCAGACCCCTTTTGCATATAGACTCAGTTACCAGCTACCCTGCTAGCCTGCTTTCACCGCAGCCTCCTCTCCCTTCAGGTGTATGGAATATTTAATGAAGCTCTTCATACTCTCTTCCACTTATATTCATGTAAAACAGTCAGTCCTTTTCTCTCTATGGGAAAATTCCTTGAAGTTCAGGTAATCATCCAGTAGTAATTATCCAGAAATCCTCAAATTTTCCATTAAATTCTCAATGAAAGACATCAGTACTTGCACATTTTTTAAAGCTTTTTCTTCTTCTAGAACTGTGCACCATGGTGGCAAAACTTAAATATACTTAACAGAAAATGAAGGTCTCCAACAATAGCACCTCTTGAAACTAATTGCAATTTACAGTTTAGTTCAGTAGTCCTATGGAATAACTTTAAAATGCAGATGCTAACTGATACTCCAAATGGAATGTTTCATTGTGTTTTTCAGACCCCTTAAAGGAGAGGGATATTTTTGTTAAACTATTAGAAGGCTGAAAATAGGAGGAAGATTTCTCTTTAGGAGTAGCTTACCCAGAGAAAATAAAAACACATTGACTTTCTTTATATTTCAGTGGGATGATGTTTAAGAAATAAAACAATTGGGAAAAAAAGCCTTATTTTTTCATAGATAATTAGAACTTAAAATAATTTGAATGCATTTTACTGTCTAATAAATTACCTTGTGTATAAATTTTGCAAACATCAAAGGTCAGTAGACTGTACAGTTCCATTGACCTGATTAATAATAATTATTTGATTTGTCTAGATGATTGACTCTATGCTACTCTTAATATAATATCTCATTTATTTACTCTAACTTTTTATTTCCCTTATTAACATATACTCTTAGAACTATAATGGTTCTATAAATAAATAGGAACATAAATTTTTATTGATCATTGACTAGAATATTCTATGAAGATATTCCTTACACAAAAATGTAAAGGATTAAAAAATTAAGTTCTGTGATTAAAACTAAATTGTCAGAATATTGAATCCTTTTACTAAGCCCTATGTTCGTTTTTTATATTCCTTAAACAGATAAACCAGATCTGAAGATTAAGTACGGTTTGGGTACCCTCTAAAATGAATGTACCAACCAGTAAAATTCTCCAAAATGGAAATCTTCAGATAGGCTTCTAAGGGGAAACTTGAAACAGAGTCTCTCCTAATGAATATTGATAAAATACCACATTATTAGTAAGAAATGGGGTCAGATTTCAAGTAAATTCTATACATCAAACTTTATACTTTTAATCATTATGACAAATGAAGTTCCTGATATTTTACTTTTGAGTTAACTTTAATTAATTTACATTACTTGGCAGCCAGAATTCTCCATAGGAATTAGTAAAGTACTTGGCATAAGAATCTTCATTTTCTTACCATTTCTCTTTTTCTTTTTATTTAATTGAAATCATGTTCATAATTGTCTTTGTCTATTTTATGCTAGAACAGAGGTGAAATATGATGCATAAGGTAAATCCAAGCATAGATTTAAGAATATGGTCATATAGTATACACATATCTGTTTTTAGTATCCTAAAAAAGAGCTTATTTTGTATACGTATTTTTCTTTACAGTTTATAATAAACTATTTGTAAACATCTATCTGCAGAGGATATTGATTTTGATTGTCAGAGGACAAAATAGTACTTTGAAAATCAGTAAGAAAATATTTAAATGTTTTCAGAAGTCATGAGATATACTGTGAAATATACTGTGATTTTTTTTTTTTAAAAGAAGAAGCCACTCTGTCTTTGGATTATTTAGTCCCATTTATCTTAATACTGGCTTCTCCTTTTTTGCTGAAATCTCATTAGTGAGACTCTGACCTTGCCTGGCCTGCAGTCTTTTAAAATCCATATCTGGTGTTATGGGCTGTGTGCGTAAATGACACAGGAATAAAATCAGAAATGTCAACAAGATCTCAAAAATTTAATAATTAACTGGTATTCTTTATGCAGTTCATCGGAATATACCAGATTTACAGGGTTGTTCTAGGTTTCTGAATTTAATAAATGTGAAAGTGCACTTTAATTGAAGGCTTAACTAAAGGAAACAGCCTCTTCTTTCACTAAAAGACAGTTGTGTAGATTCTCATAAGAAATCTAATGTTCTAATTTCTCAAAGGCAATTACTTTTAAAGTCCCTCGAATTGAAATGTGATTATTTTTTGATCAGTGATATCCTTAAAGTCTTAGAATAGAATATTTAATTAGAAGCGTTTCTGAAGATTTACATTTTGGAGAATTTTACTGGTTGGTACATTCATTTTAGAGGGTACCCAAACCGTACTTAATCTTCAGATCTGGTTTATCTGTTTAAGGAATATAAAAAACGAACATAGGGCTTAGTAAAAGGATTCAATATTCTGACAATTTAGTTTTAATCACAGAACTTAATATTTTAATCCTTTACATTTTTGTGTAAGGAATATCTTCATAGAATATTCTAGTCAATGATCAATAAAAATTTATGTTCCTATTTA